GGCTGCTGCCATTGGCGGGGGGGCGCACGTGACGGCCGCTGGAATGAGCCCTGGCATTGCTCCGCTTTGCGGCGGGGGTCGGACGGGGCTGCTGCGCGTCCGGCTGGCCGGGCTGGCTGGCAGCGGGGGCGGCTGCGCGGGCGAGCCGGAGGGCAGGTAAGCACCAACGGGGCGCTCGGGGAGGGGGGTTGCGGGGGATGGCAGGGCCGGCACCTGGGTGGGCCGGGGTCTGCAGGGTCTGGCGCCCCCTCCCCGGGCTGCTGCTGCTCCGGGCCTGGCATTGCCAAGGCGGGCGGTGGAGGGAGCGGGGAGGGGGGGTCCTTATCCAGAGCCCTCCACCACCACCAGACCTCCGGACGGGACTGCCAGCTCCATCATCCTCTACGCGGGCTGCAGGTACATCTGGCAGCTATCAGCCGGGCAGAGGCTGCGGCTTCTTCCCTGCTGGGGACTCCGACTCCCATCAGCCGCGGCCTGCCTGCCTGCCTGCGGGAAGGGGACGATGGGAGAGGAGGTCCCCATCTTTGCGCGGGTAGATGAACCCCCCCTCCTTTGCAAGCAGCCTGTTTGGGGGGGGGGGGTTGGCACAGGATGATGGGTGTTGAGATCCGGAAGGTGGAGGCTGGGCAGAAAAGCCGCTGAGCAGGCACTGGGGGCAGGGGGGGGGTTGAGGAATAGGGGATCCCTCCTCTGCAGGGGAAGACTGCTCTTGAATGGGGAGGTTCTCCATAAAAGGCAGTCCTAGCAGCCCATGGAGGGCGGGGGCAATGCTCCTTTGGGGGGGGTGTCCCACATCTCCAGCCCTAGATTTTGTAGATTTGGGGAGGAATGACTGAGCCTGAAACACCCCCCCCCCCAAAATGTCCAGGAAGCTGCAGGTGAATAGATGCCCATCAACCTTTGCCCTCTGACCCCCAGCATTTGGGGGTAGACTATGATGGGCCTTGGAGGATTCATCCTGCTTTCCTCCAACCCCACAAAATCGGGAATCTTCAACCTTCCTTTGTGAGCCCCACCATATGTGGCCAACTACAACACCCAGAGTTCCCAGCAGCTGGGAATTAGCGGGGGCTGGGGGGGGAGGCTGTTGCCTCAATTGTCAGGGAGGTGTCATTCCCCTCCATCCCTCCTTGTTTCTCTTGGGATGCCTTTCCGGCATGCCGCCTCTTGTGGTGGGGAGTTCCACTGATGAACAAGCCACCAACGGGATCCCTTTCCTGCTACGTGGCTGAAGGGACGCATCGCCATTTGTTCATGCCCCGAAGACAACACCCCCCCCCCACAATGCCACAGCGGAAACGGTGCTTTGTGCGTTTGTTTCAAAATGAGACAACCGATCAACCGATTGGAAAGTCCCCTTTTTGAAATTCTCGGTGTGTGTCTGTGTGTGTGTGTGTGTTTGTGTGTGCTGGGACAGCTGCTCACTGTTAGCCTCACGGTCCCCGGAGGGATTGGGACTACATATCCCAGGATTCATAGCCAGCTTGGGGGGGGGGTTGTGGGATTGACAGCCCCCTGTGGTCAGAGGTCTCCAGCCTTGGCGACTGTAAGACTTGTGGACTTCAACTCCCAGAATTCCCCAGCCGGCCAGGCCTCCTTCTCTCCCCCCCCCCCTCTTGACAGCAGAGAGATTGCAGAGGAAGGGACTGAAGGAGGGTAAGGCAGGCGCCAGGGAATTCTGGGAGTTGAAGAAGCCTTAAAGGTGCCAAGATTGACACCTCTGTGATGGACAGATCAAAAAACAAGGAAACCCCAGGGAAAAAAATAAAAAGAAACAAATAGCAAAGCCGAAATTTACCTTTTGAAATGGATGCAGATTGATAGAGAAACAGACACAAAAGACTCTTCCAGGCCCATTAAAAAAAAGGGAAAGTCTCTTTGTTTGCCTTCAACACAAGAGGCGCTCAAGAGGAGGGTCATCGTAATACAAACCATCCTCGCTTAACGACGGAAAGTGGGCCTGGCGACTCCATCACTAAGCGATGCGCTTGCAAAGCACAAGGCCTGCTTTGGGTGAAGCTGTGGTTGTGTGAGAGTTCCGGTTGCTGTTGTCAGGCGAACATTGCAGGGTTGTGGCGTCCTCCGGCCTTGGGATCCCCTTATTCCGACAGTTAGTCCTTGACTTACAACAGTTCATTCAGTGACGGTTCGAAGTGGCTTCGGACCACTTTTCACACTCACACCCCTGCAGCAACTTGGCAATGGCGGTGAGTCACTTCACAAACCGCAGCGAGGAAAGGTCGTGAAGTGGGGCCAAACTCACTTAAAGACTGCCTTGGCTTAGCGGCGGGAAAATTTGGGCTCGATTCTGGTCGTAAGTCAAGGACCAACTGAACTAGACTGCGGCGTCCCTGGGGATTGAGATGAGGTTTAGAACAGGAGGCGGAGGGGGAGAGAATTTTTAATTTTTTCCAGATGCTTCCACCCCCCCCCCCCCCCACCCCCCGCTTTATGGAGAGCTAATTACGCTGCACCAGGGGACCACAACCAAGAACTCCTCGGCGCCTAGAAGTCCAGTGCGCTGACGGCACGGCACCCACTTTGGGGACTGCGGGGAAAAACTAGTCCGGGAAAATTAGCGAGGCCCTTAAACGTTTGGGACTCTTTAGTAGTAGTGGGGGGGGTGGGGGGGC